AAATATACTGAATGGGTTGTAAGTACAATGAAGGTAGTAATCTAGCGAGTGCATGGTAGAGTGCATTAGATTGTCTGCCATGTCCAGTGCAGTACCCGAGACCTATATATCTTGAAGAAAAGTAGTTCATTGGTGTTAGCTACCAGGAAAGTATGGTGGATCCGAAGCAAGTACGGTTGTTTTTAACAAACGCCCAAAGTGTGCCATAAGGCTTTGCAAAATAAACTGGGAGCCACGGGGGTCAGGAAGCTCGCTCACTAAGCCACGTATGCCTGCGGGTATATGATGGACTTGTTCTTAAGTCGTAACAAATAAATAAATTAATTACACTATTTATGCAGAAAGGAATTGACGGACGGCTTTCCCTTTGGCCGAATAAAAGAAAATGTCTGGTAAATTAATTAATACATGCAAAAAGGAATTGACGGACGGCTTTCCCTTTGGCCGAATGAAAGAAAATGTCTGGAAAATTAATTAATACATGCAGAAATGGGAAAGGGATATGACGAATAAGCTCTCCCCTTTTACCTATTTTTACTTTTGAACACATGTCATGGATGCCTGCGGGTAATGGTGGTAATTGATCAACAAGCACAGTGGAAGCCTTATGGCGGAAGCAGTCAGTTGATCAATTGGTGAGTCCTGACTGCTGGGTGCGGCCCTTCGGGGAGTACTCGTGGTGGTTGTGGTTGGCGAGTTCCTAGCTAAAATGGAACAATTGAGTGCAGCTGGGCCTCGCCATTCACCAGAGTGGGGTTTATTGTTCCATACACAATAAACTGTTCTGGACTCTGGTGCTGTTTAGGCCCCTACTCTGTGGGGATTGTCTAACTCGCCAGGGGGCGTAGTACGCTTAAAAGTGGTTTGGGCCACCGTGGGGTTAAGCCTTACAGGCAGGAACCCACGTTAAACCCTTGTCACAAATTCTGGCTCATAATGCCGGGGAGATAAACTATGCTTTGATGGGAAGCATAGATGTACCGTAACTCTCACCTCCCAGCGGTGATCCCCGGGCAACGGCTTCGGCCGGCTAAGAAGAGTTTAAGGTTTTGGGCTGCTAACTCGGCGACGAGTTTCTGAGAGATGGTGGAGGGGTTGGCTGGAAGAAGAGCTCTTACTCAATAAGCTAGTTACTACCGAGGAAATATATTGAATGGTATTTAAGTACGATGAAGGTAGTAATCTAGCGAGTGCATGGTAGAGTGCGTTAGATTAGTCTGCCATGTTCAGTGCAATACCCGAGACCTATATATCTTGAAGAAAAGTAGTTCATTGGTGCTGGCAACCAGGAAAGTATGGAGAATCCGAAGCAAGTACGGTTGTTTTTAACAACCGCCTAAAGTATGCCAAAAGGCTTTGCAAAACAAACTGGGAGCCACGGGGGTCAGGAAGCTCGCCTCACAAAGCCACGTATGCCTGCGGGTGTATGATGGACTTTGTTCATAAAGTCGATGAAATTAAAATTTACTCAGGAGAGAGTTAATTATACAAAAAGGAATTGACGGATGGCCTTCCCTTTGGCCTATTAACTCACTTGAGAATTAATACATGCAAAATTAAAAAAGGGATTTGACGGAAAGGCTTTTTCCCCATTTGCCTTATTTTTACTTTTGAACATATGTCACGGATGCCTGCGGGTAATGGTGGTAATTGATCAACGGCGCCGTGGAAGCCTTATGGCGGAAGCGAGCGCAATTTTTACCCTTGTTGAACGCATATCGTTGATCAATTTGTGAGTCCTGACTGCTTGGGTGCGGCCGTTCGGGGAGTACTCGTGGTGGTTGTGGTCGGCAAGTTCCTAGCCAAAGTGGAACAATTTGAGTGCAGCTAGGCCTCACCACTGACCAGAGTGGGGTTTATTGTTCCATACACAATAAACCGCTCTGGACTCTGGTGTTGTTTAGGCCCCTACTCTGATTGTCTAACTCGCCAGGGGGCGTAGTACGCTAAAAGTGGCTTGGGCAACCGTGGGGTTAAACCTTTCAGGCAGGAACCCACGATAAACCCTTGCTACAAATTCTGACTCATAATGCCCTCATTCATCTTTATATTGTAGTTTAAATTGTGTGCGGTAAGACAAGCTTTAGCACTTTTTATACTAAGTACGTTAGATGTCGTAAGTCGTAAGTAAATTTTTAGTTTTTTTTTTGTACATTAAGCATATTAGTTTATATTTGCGAAAGTAACCACAACTACTTTATCCTTGCAGAAGCAAAGCATTCTGAAAACCTATTGAGAGATAATTTCAATTATGCATATCTAAGACAAGAGCGATAACGTTGAACTAGAAGTAGCTTGTTCTTGGCTTCGTTTTCTTTTTAGTTCCATTATCTCTGTTTTAAATCAAATTCTTTTCTAATCACATCCCAGACCTCGTAGACTTGCTATTGTTTCGTAACATGACCTTGATATTTTTGCTTTTGGTTTCCATTTTCTTTTGGAATTTTAATTTATTTGTTTCTTTTGCCTGAATTTTTCTACAATATTTCTTGCAACTACAACTTGCTATTATTGTCATGGTGATGGTGAAAGAATAGATGGCATCATCTAAAATAGCATTTTAAATATTTTATTTCCCGCTGTTAAATATTATTTACTGAAAACACATACGATCCTACAAACGTGCAACACCGCTTTTCTACCAGATACTTAGGCATAAGTGATGTGCGATATAATGTGATTCCTTATGAAAGCATGAAAGGAAAGACAAGCAAGATGGAAATTTTGGTTTCTTTTTACTACGAGTGTATATGAGAACAATAAACTTATACGTATGTACATAAAGATAAACATGTATTCCGATCTTTACGTATCGCGTATATATACGGAAAGTAAAATGTTTCTCTGTAAGAGAAGGAGCATATATATACATTGGTGTGTGTAAGTATATTTACTTTAGTTTCTATATGCCTTCCCTATATGTTGTCTTGAAGCATTTTAACTTACCAGAGAAATCATGTTTTCCGGCACTTTGTGCGAAATAGCGAGAATGTTAGTCTGTAGAAAAATACTCATTGAATACGTTGTAAGGATACAAATGCGCGCGTGTGTATATGTATACGTGTGTGTATGTGGCTAAATAAAAACCACATTTTCTTTATTTCATCATTTATAGCTTTGTACGCACACATTCGCACGTTCGTAACTATATACGAGAGCATGTATGCATTACCAGTGTTGCTTAAGAAAGAATTTCTTCTTTTCGTTGCCTGTTTGCTAAGTTATATGCAAAATAAGAAAAACTTGAGAAAAAAATTTATGAATAATATTGAATTTACGTAAAGTGGTTGGTAAAATTTTTACAACACAGCGAGAAAAAAACATGCTTTGCTAGGCAACGAATACCGCACTATAGAGCCTTGTAATGCATATTTATGCAAACTGCTGTTCGCGTGTACGAGTGTGTGTGCGTGTTGGTATCTGTGTGGAAAACTGGTTATATGCATACTGACAATCGACAAGTAAACAGCGGATGTTGAAAAGTGGAGAAATATTGTATTTGAATATTTATCAAAATAAAATAAAAATAAATATAGAAAAAAGAAATAATAAAACAGAGTGGAAAGGCAACCTCAAACGTGGTTGTGTATGTGCACGAACATATTAAGTGTTTGCATATAAATTCTCAACTTCATGTTCCCGTTTGCTTATAAAGTAAAAGTTAATTCTTTTCTTCTCTTATGCAAAGGGAGAAATCTACTTTTTTTTTGCTTTACATCAACATGAACATCTGTTACAGCCAGAAGCGACCATAACAATGACTACGAGACTCGCAAGTCTACCGCTCTATAGAGATTCATCGAGTGTTTTGAATTTTGCGTAGAAATGGGTGAATTCTCAACTTACTTTATGCTACATTTACTATTAAACAAGACATCATAAAGAACAACAACAATCAGTTATGCAACTATGTACATGTCATCGCAAACCATAGAAATAGAAAGGAGCGAAACTGCGGTAAAAAAACGTTTGGTATTAACGGTTTTATTTGATGAAAAAATTGTAGAAGATAGATAATTTCCATTAATTGAATCTTTTTGTTCACCAGCATATATGCGTCACCGACTTAATTAACAATCATTCATTTGTAGACTTAGGAGTAATTAGAAGCAAATATATTCATAAAATCTCTTTCAAAAACACGAAAGTATATGGCAACATACGATCTATCATTGTCTTCACTTTATTAATCGGTCTAATTATCCACTACAATTCTTACCATTAGTTTGCTTCTCTTGTTCGATAGAACGCTTACCCATTTAGCTAACGGAACACAATTCGTTAGAGTGAGTCGTGGGCTGACACTCTTATCACACACTTCAGCGCATATATAGTGCGTTGTCAAATTCAATTTTCGTATCCATAATATTAATGTAACATAGCTGCATAAATAAATAAACAAATAAATAAGTAAAGAAATTCTTTTTCCATCATATGTGAATTATTTTCAAATAGCCATTGCTGGAAATTTCAGATTTATGCATCAAAAATTTTCCCTTTTTATATATGGAGTAAAACTCCATATTGAAAAAATGCTCACCTTTCAAATCCCAAGAAGAAATGTAATTAACAAATAAATGTTTTTATCAATTTTAACAATAATATAAAAAAAGTTTCTTCAATTCTTTAAGTCTCTCGCACAAATATGTGGAAAAACGTTCTTTTGGTTTTTTGTACAAAGTTAACAAAAAAGTATGTTTTTTAACAAATTGCTTTTAGTTTCTTGGTCTATAACACACTTTATAAATCTTAAAGGTTCATACTGTTTGCATTGTTGCAATTTTTTTTTTTTTTTTGTTAAAAATTTGTTTTTTTTTCGGCGTTTTTTTTTTTGTACTTTGCCGATAACACTTTAATTGAAAATAAAATGCGACAAAATGTAAAAGACATTTACAAGTTTTCTTACACATTTCTATATAAAATATCAAATAATTGATTTTCCCATAAGAGAGGAAAACTGACACACGTGAAAATAAAAAATTCCGAATATCGAACGGTGAAGAAGTGTTGAGTTATGTTAGCAGCCGATATACACATTTGCACTACACTGCCCCGATAAACCTAAAACGGAGCTTAAATCAAGCGGAAAAGCATAGCTAAATCAACTCACAATTTCATGCTGAGCAAGAAGAAATCAACTATATTCACTATATTTATTAGAAGCAAAGGCGAACTATATCCATTAGAAGCAAACTAGGTTTAAATAAACCAATTATAGTGTTATGATTTTACCTGATGTATGGTGGTCCGGCAGCCGGCATGGGAGGTAAATACCATACGGCTGCGCCGAAGTGCCGTCAGCGGCCTGGGTATTAGGCTTATTAAATGGTCGTGGAGTACCAGAATGGAAATTCTGATTTTCGTAAGACTAAAAAAAGGACGATATGTGGAGACATGTGAAATAATAAATTCAATACTTTACTTACATTGACTTTATTAAGCGCTACATGCCCTTTACCATACATGGATGACGTAATAACTGAGGCGATACCTGCTTGAGGGGGATTTGTACATTTCCGAGATTTTGTTTGTTGATTATTCCGACCAAATTCAATTTTTCTCAATCCGACCAAATTCAAACAGGCTCTCAATCCGACCAAATTCAAACACATTCTCAATCCGACCAAATTCAATTACTCTCAATCCGACCGAATTCATTTATTCTCAATCCGACCAAATTCAAACAGGCTCCCAATCCTACCGAATTCAATTTTTCTTAATCCGACCAAATTCAATTTTTTCAATCCGATCAAATTCAATTATTCCCAATTCGATCAAATTCAAACAGACAAATCTCTTTCGCAACCTATCTTCACCAATTTTGCGTGAAATCGCGTAACATGGTAGGTATAAATCTGTAATTACTTTTAATTGGATAATTCTCTCTCTCCTCTTTTATTAATATACAACGGTATTGTTTCGTATTATAATTGAGATTACATTTCTCAAAATCTTGTATACTAGTGCGTATCGTTATTAAGATAATATACCGAATTATTCAACTTTCACAAAGAAATATTTATGTATTCAAGTATAAGCTAATAAATTTATTTAATCTATAGCAAAAAATTTGTGTTTGCGAAGAAGCAATAATTTATTTCAATAAGGATTAATAACGATTTAATTTACATTAGTTGAAACTTAATGTTAAAACTTTCTTTAGAAACATTTAATTATTTTTTCTTCTGAATGAACGCATTTTTCTTTGGCTTTCTATTGTGATACGAGTTAAATTTCATTTACGCATTTATGTATTTTATTCCTTTGCTGAGAAAGTTTTACTCTTAAAACGTTTGCCTGAATGAAATGGAAGTAATTGAAATATGGAAGGAAACACAAGAGAACACTAATAAATGCCTAAATTTAAGAGTGAAGATTAGATATTCTCTTCTTTTATCTCTGTATTCTCTCTCTCTCCCTATCTCGCGCGCTCCCTGTCTTTTTATGGTACGCAAATGTTTACATACCATAAAAGTTATATTAAGGCTTGTGTCCTCGCTAGAAAAGTGGGAAATTGCATATAATAAAGTTTTTTTACGAAAAATGTTTGTTTTTGCAATTTTTGAGATTTTTCAATGAACTTCGATTTGTCTAATTCTAATTCAAATCGAACCACCTTTTCGACCAACATCTATATAACGCCCTGTTTCAAAAATTTACAGTTACAGAATTCCGAAGAAATTATCGCTGAGTAAGTGTTGCAGCATTCTAAATTCATACGAAAAACTTAAATTACTTCAGCCCTCTACGAACGACATTTAGTTAAAATTCGAATAAAATTGACTAGAATTCGTCCTCTACAAACAAAAAGTGTTCTTCGGTTTTTGTCTGTTTTCAACTCAAAACATATGTATTTTTTCTCATATACATTCTGGGTGGTTTCTGAGAGACTGTTGGAATGCTTCGTAGAAAAAACGACCTGTTATTGTAATCGCTCTCTACTTAATCGTGTTCAATCAGTTGTTGGCCTATGTTTAACTTACTTAAAGCAAGCTACTTAACTTAAAGCAAGCTAGTTTAACTTGCTTGAAGCCGAAGGCATGCTTGAGCACGATTGAACTAATTGTGGAACTATTTCTAACGGGGCCAGCTTTCTTTTTTAAGTTTGATTTAATGGTTCCGCAAATTTTTTTGCATTTGGCCATGGAAACGAATAACTACACAAAATGACTTTATATCGACAAAAATTCGGTGAAGAATGTCAGATGAATTAGAAAAATTTGCGTGATAATCTATAGCATTTCTTCCGTTTTCTTGTCTGCTCTTGTTTTAACTATTTTCTTCAGTGACTTGATTTCAATATAATTAAAATCTTATATATCTACCATATAACAGTGCCACCACACAGTTTTCACAGTTTAAGTATTTCTTCAATGCGCGACTAGTTTCACAATTCACTTATGATCCAGTAGAAAAAAAACCTGTCCCGAATACCATTACAATACGTGCTTATAAATTGTTGAAGGTAACGAATTTTGCTTAAAGCGACAAACACCGCTAATTTCCAATACTTCATGGTGAAAATTGGTTCATAATAATAGTTTGGAATAATAATTAACTTAACCGAATTTCTAGTATATATTGGTGGTCCCAGCTCGCAAAAGGACTGTAATGAAAACTCGGCCTTCATATGATAAATATGTCCAGTCTTTAAAACTTTATGATGAAAACTGATTCATAGTAACAAAGTACCATAAAAAGTAAGCGTTGGGGGTTTGGATCACATAGATCTATTTTTTAAAACCCATAATATACAAAATGAAGTAAGAGAATTTCTAGGCTATTTACAAGAAAAGGACTATGAATGTAGAAAAATGGCAAAGAATAGTGCACAAGCCGACAAACCCACAATTCTTTTTCTTGCTCATATATTTTACAATTCCTGTTCTTGCTCATATAGTTTTCTAAAAAGCATATGGTACTCTTCCAAGTTCCCAGACCTTCACCTTAAAGTTTCTCCCGAATAGCATTCTCTGCTTGTCTTGTATCTTACTGTAAAAATTGTTCGCCACTCATCTAATATCTAATTCTATAGATATCTACGCTAAATTTGGTACAAGAGATCCATCGTTCTTTGAAATAGTTTTTCAAATATCTAAGCGAGAAAGCAATAGCCAACCGTAGGTCATTTCGCCGCAATTTCAATAGCTTTTTTGCTATACTAGGAAACATAGTATGCCTTTCTTATCTTGTGCCGTACTTCCAATGTTTAGTTCATTTTCCCTGTACCATTGAAAGACTTAAAGATAAATATCACTGATCAATCGATTACACACATGCAGCACTTATTAATAGAGAATTTTGTGGCAATTTAGCATTGGGGTAAAAAAATTGTCAAGAAAGCCTAAAGGCAGCGGCTAGACTAAATCTGACAATGAAAGTGATTTCTGAGGAAAGCTAATTACGCAAACCTGAACCTTCTAAGTATTGCAAGCTAAATTATAAACTGTATCCTTTTAAAATGTTTGTCGCCCATCTATCTATAGCGCAGAAGTGATCAATTGATACGTCCTCCCGCAAGTTTTATATATTTTTGAGATGCGTTGAGTATTCGAGATTCGTCCCAAAGTGAATCTTCTTAATTGATCTCTGTCTAAATTTAGATCTTATATCAATTATTATAAAGGCAAGCACAAACTTTTGAAATACTAATGGAATCGTAAATTAAAACTTGAAAGCTTATCTCTAAATTCTTTATTGCTTTACATCGCAATCTAGATAACTAATTTAGATAGATTTTAAATAATTTGCATTTCAAAAACTCATCTTTTATTTAGTTAACATCCATCGAGCCATTTGAATCATTGCCTTTACAATACTTATATAGATGAGTGAGCTCTTATGTGGCGACAAAATCTAATTAGTAGTATTTTACGACGGAAACAACTGAAAAATATCATTTGACAAGTAAATTAAGTTTGCTAAGTTTGGACAACGTCAGTGGACTTTTTGATCATCCCCTTATACGAGAATTTTCATATCTTACATGCCTTTACGCAAAAAAAAATATTTAAAGTTTTGGTGTATTTTCACGAAAATGTGTGAATCACTATGTTATACGAATCTTTATGAAGCACCTTTCCGTCGGCCTTGTCCGATTATAATGCTCTTATTTGTTTACTATTATTATTACTAATAACTTAGCCAGAGAATAAGTTCTAAGACTAACGCCTTAAAGCACTTCAGATTTGAACCCACGACCACTGAGTTGTTAGGCGAGACTCTTTGCCTACTCAGCCACTCTAAAAAAAATTAACAAATATTTTTATACCCATTACTGAAAGATGGGGCTACACCCATTTTATTTTGATTTTTGGCTGTGTGTCAGTGCTTCTATGGGTCTGTGACACTTTCGTAGGTCCAAAAGTGAAAATTCAAATGTGGCAGAAACATTTGGAGTCTCTGCACGAAGGTTGATATTGAAAATGGACCAAACTGGTTCGCAATGAAACCTAAACTGTACGCAACTCCGTTTTTCTTAACAACAATTTTTGGTTTTCTGCACATTACTCACAAATTATTAAATATAGAAAGCTGAAATTTTCCACATTTACTTTACGAAAAACTCTATCATATCTCAGCCAAACTCGAAAGAAATTCTCCATGCCTACAAAAACTTACAAGTGATTAAATTTTTGTTTTTTATATTTTTGAGATTTTATGCTTACTAGTCGTAAGGTGAAGAACTATTTAAAACAATTTTATGCACCCCTCACAAGAAGATATAATATCTGCCTAAAAATGCGTTCATTCTAAAATATATATGGTGAATTAGTTTTTCGTAATAATACCAGTAGTACGGATATCAAATAAAACAACTCGGAGAATAGAAGGCGTTAATTCAAAATTGATTATGGTAAACGTCACAATGTAGCGGATTCATTTTTTCATTGAAAGTAGAATGCGACAAGCTAAGGTCGTTGATTTTAAATTAGTTGAGGTGGGCGTCACGACGTGGTAGACTAGATTTTCTTAAAAATATCTTTTAGTGAAACAAAAGGTGAACGATAAATGTCATTTCATTGACAATAAGCAAAAGAATGGGGCGTCAAAGATTTTAATGGTGACGGATATATGAGATCCAGTCCCACTAGAATATGACTATCTCACTTGTATCATATAGAATTATCAAGAGCAACAACAACAAAATATTAACAGATACTAACATAGTTTTTTATCTAGTTTAAATATCGATTTGTGTCATTGCGGATTTCCGGAACAAGTGAATTCTAGAAACAAAAATTTCTAGAAATTTATACACTTATTTCTCCAACAACACGAATAATCTGGAAAAATAATTTATTGAAGTAAACCAATGACTTAGCGCAATCACAAAGAAAAAAGGTCGAAAGAATTTCATTTCATGATCCTTGCGGCGACTTACCATTGGCGTTTCGGGGAATGAACATCTGTTGAATTTTCTTCTCAGTAGTGCGACTGGCTTACGATAAATATGGCCAAGTTTCACCCCGCATTCCCGAAACAAATCCCGAATAGATTCATTATTTTTGTGGTAAATTTTAACAATTACCATTCGTTGCGTCAGTGCATATCTTTCCCTGACAATATGACAGACAATGATGAACACAAATGTCAATTTTGGCGTGAATCTAAAGAAAAAATGGGTGAAATGACATTTAAAATAAAAAAGTACTAATTAGATAATCAGCTGTAT